CGGACCTGACCTAGGGTGGATTTTATACTGGGTTTTTTAGGAATTTGGAAGACACAACTTTAAATTTGGTTTAATTCGGTTTTAAGGGGGGGATTGTATATATGCTTTGGTTTTAAATATGTTGTGCGCCGCCCTGAGTCCCGCCGGGAGAAGGGCGGCATATAAATTAAATAAAATAAATAAATAAATAAATAAATAAGCCATTTTGAACTTGACTTAACAAAATTCCTAAGGCTCCTAAACAGAAATAGCATAAAATGACAAGTCATTGTCTGGAGCACTCAGTAGTTCAACAGCAGGCATTTGAAAGCAAGACTGATGTGTAATCAGGTAATTCTGCAGACCCACAACATCATTTATATAGTTTTTGGGGTTTGAAGGAAATAGATATTTGGTTCATGGTGCAAAAGTCAACATCAACATCAACCCAATAAAGAATTTTGTGGCTGGTTCAGACAACATATCTGAGTCAGCTAAAAGTTTAATGTCTATATTTGCACAACATATAAAGCTAGCATATTATGCAAATCCAGAAAATGGATCAGTAACCAGGTGATACACGCAGTTTAAAGCCTTAGTGCTGGTATATTTGGGAAAAATATACAAAAAAGTTATTTTTCTTTAAACGTTTTTTTTTTTTGTAAATCTGCATCACAACTCTTTTAAAAGTGAATTCCTGCATGTCATGAAAGGATATTATTGAGCTAGATAGGATATTAATTTGGCCAACAAATTTACACTAAAACTAAAGGACTTTCTTTACTCAGAAATATTAAAATATTTGATTTCCCTTTTGCTTTTGTTTGTGGTTGTCTTCTGAAAAATGTATTTAGAACAAGTATGACTTAGGAAGGAAATTATACAAAACCTATGTAGTAATTATGCATCGTGTGTGTGGAATTGCATATTTTTGAAAGGTCTGTCTACATAATGTTAGCATTCAGAAAGCATGTTGGAAAATCTATGTTTAGAGATTCAAGGTAGATGAATAATAGAAAGTTGTTATTTTCACATATGCCTGCTTTGCACCCCCACCCTGCTTCCCTCTCAGATGTTTCTGGGGAGGAAACTGAGTCTGAAGGAATTATCCCAGAAGGAGGTGGTGAAGCTGGAGAGGAAGACCATCCAGAAGGATCGGAGACTCCCGAAGGAGCAGAAGGTGAGTTGAAAGGCTGAAATGAGAGATGGGTAGCGAGTAATGAGTAGCTCTGACTGGGGCTGCATTCAGAGTTTACCACTCGCAAGACCTTTATCAGAAAATCTAAACGATTCTTTCTTCCTACCTGTCCTGTTTGAGCCAAAGTTTTCTTAGAAATGTCCTCATTATAATCAATATTAAGAACTTGAAGAGGAGAGGAATTATTTTAATATAATTAGCTCACTTAAGCATAGGTGAGCTAATAGATTAAAATAATTCTGAGTGATGGAGTCACATATAATGGAAATGGGGCTATTTCTACCTGTGATTTTATAATCAGAGTTCTGAGTACTTCTGTCCTTTCCTGTTGAGCTAACCTCAACCTTAGCTATGAAATGCGGAATCCTAATTTCATGCATCTCTTTCTCTCTCTAGATGGAGAGAATCTGTCTCGATTCAGACCAAAGCTACCTAGTGCACCACCTCGGGGTAAGTCTCCCTTCTCCTGGACAGCTTCCTTAATTAGCAGAGAATGAGAGGACCAGGAAGGGTATGAAAAGGAATCTTCAGGAATGAGTCCCAACAACCAGATGTTCTCTTGATGGGATGCTTACATAGGAAGTTTCTAGGGATGCTCTGAATGGAATTTTCTGCCATGTTGTTGATTCCCTCGCATACTTGCCTTGGCCCTGTGCTATAGAGAAGACAATAGCCAATAGCCTTTTATCACAATCTTTTTCAATGACATGTAAACACAATGAAAAGAAATACACCATCAGCCAGAATTGGAGGAAGGGAACAGAGTAGGTTCTACTGTTTCCAAAGCAGTGGGAAATAAGTTTGCTTCCTAACCCAGATGAAGTGGGCAGAATTCTGGCAACTTATGGCTGTTGATCTTTGGCTATTTTGGATCTTCTATCTTGCTCTTGAGGCTTTGGGTTTTTCTTGGCAAAGTTTCTCCCAGCATTCACCCTCTGGTTCCTTCCCCCAACTCTTAGCTTTCTGAGTGAATAAAGGAATTGAAAGAAGAGGATTTGTTACCAGGAAAGGATAGTGTGCCCACCAGTGAGCTTTCCTGCTTTGACTTGGACATTCATAAGGCCTGGATCAGCTGGGAAGCACTCTGGCACATTTTATTTCCCACTGGATGTGTACCTTGTTTCTTCCATCAGGCCAACACTGAAAAGTCACTTTGAAGACAGAAGCAGCTGGAGAAGTGTTCCGTTCAGCCCCATCCCATAATTATTCCTTCTCACCACCAGAAGTTTTTATTGCTTCCCACTAAGTTTTCTTTCTCCATGCATCTTTTTTCTTGCTTCCTTCTATGCTCCTGTTCTCCCTATACCATTTGGCTTTTTAATTTATGAAGACAATAAAGTTGTGACTTTATTTGCTAACAGCAATTCTGGCAAGGTTCATTGGGTGAGAGATTCTGTTTGACTCCTTTCTTTGGAGGAAAAAATGAGATTCATAGGCATAGATGGTGAAATTTTTCCAAAGGGTGCTCATTCATACATTTCTGCATTTATCATTCACAGAGGCTATCTGCAGTAGTTCCTCGCCCCCCTCCTACCAGAAGTGGTTCTTTTTTAAACCACAACAGCTTTTTCCCAACTCATCAAGGGCTGTCTAAAACGTTTTTTTGTACTGGGAAAAAGAGGGTCAGCCATAGGCATGGTTTTAGCCTGGTTTAGAAACACTTTACTCTCCATCCTTCCATCCTATTCCTGGGTTAAGGAAGGGGTAACTTATTCCATCCTTTGAATGTGGATGAATCTAAATGTTACTTTGACCAGTTTCAAATTTACACTGAGGAAAAGTGGCATCTCTATATTTGAGGTACGTTGGAGCAGGAGGACATCAAAAGTGAAAGTCCATCTTCTGTAGGTACAACTTTAGTGAGATGAGTGGCCATTTACATTATTTACAATTTTTAAAAAATTATGAAGGAAGTCTAATCTTCCTGACCTGTTTTCGACTGATCGGAGCACCCTCCAATTGGGGAAAAGGCAAAATGCTGCTCATTGTTAGCATCAGCAACCAGCTCAACAGCACCAGTGAAAAGATTGGTTTGGAAGGAGCTTGTGCTTTTTAGGGGGTCTAAGCAGTGCCGCTGTCCATGGTGCTACTCTTGAAGTTGGAGCACAGCAGGAAGCGCTCCAAGGCAAAGGAGTCATGGGCATTTGAGAAGGGCATTTGTGGAGGGGGAGGGTTAATGGGGAATTGAGACACTTCCTATAGCTGGTATACATAGTGCTTCCATCTCCCAGTCTAGTTGACGTGAAAATGCTCAGTTCTAGCCTGTATTTCGGGCTGCAATACAGCATTCCCTTAGATGGAAAGAGTACCCCCTTTCTGAAAGCATTTGGATTTTACTTGAGTTTAGCTTTGCATAGCGTCTGACCCAAGGCTGACCTGGAGAATCAACGATCCAATTCAGGCTTCCTTTGGCCTCAAAACCCAAGTTCTGCCTGTATTCCTGTAAAGCAGATCAAAATAGAGGCACATCTGAATTTGTAGATCTGCAGAAGTTTCATTATCAAGGCTAACATTTTACTTTCCTCCATCAGCATTACTTTATCCCTCCAAAGGTGATTAGCTTTTGGTCGAGTTGACCTACAGTATCAGGAGATCTGTTAAACTTCATAATGCATGCGTAGAATGGCTCATTTAATTTTGGTTGGATTGGTGGGTTTGCCATATTTGAACCCCGATGATTCGTTAACATCGGTTATATAGCGTGCGGCCTCAGAAAGTAAGTTAATTCAGTAAATAAGTGTGAAGTAATATGATGTAAACCCTTCTACTGAACTGAGGAAGCTTCTTGGATGAGCGGCGAAACATTTTCAAGGAAAAGAACCAAGAAAGTCTAGTTGCTTTTTTTTGGAAAAGCCCCTTTTGGGACCTTCTACTGAACTCAACAGTTTAGATCAGGACAGCAAACCTTGACACCTCACAACTCAGGTAGTAGGACCACCAGTGCAGCCCAGGACGCAACCTCACTCTCCCCCCCCCCCCAACCTCCAAATCACCAGCCCGCACTCGGAAATCGTTTGACGCCCAAGAAGTTTTATTTCATAAACAAATGTCTTCTGCGAAGGCGCCGGAGTTGGGGGCAAGCGATGCCTAAGGAAGCGGGGGGGCGATTCAAGTTGCCGGATCGGCTCACAAAAGCGAGGATCTCTCGCGTGCCCTCGCCGACGGCTTCACTTGCCTACCGAGTCCAAGAGTTGACGGTTCAACTCCGCCTGGGCTTGCTGGCTCTGCGCCCGGGAGATCTCCATCATGTGGCGGAGGAGGTGGAAGGTGAGGTCGATCGAGAGAGGCGGCTCGTGGCGTTTGAGTCGGTCGCTCAGTTCGGCGAGGCGCCGACGCAGCTCTTCTCCCTCCTCCGGAGACAGACGGCGCTGAGATCGCAGCCACGGGCTCGCCCCGTCCGGCTCGGGAACGGGTTGCAGCGGCTGGCGGGATCCGGCGCGGTTTTCCTCGGGGAACCGCAGCCGCAGGGTCAGGTCGCTTTCCGCGCTCCCCTCGAGGTCGGCCGCTGGTCTGGCTCCGAGGGCCACTTGCGAGGCCAGGAGGAGCAGCGAGGCCAGGAGGCTGGGCAGCTGCGCCCGCCTCATGCTGAGGCGGTCCGGGCCTGAGAAAGGAGACAGGGAGGTCTCGGCGAGAGCGAGACCCGGGGGACCCTGGACAGGGAGCAACGCCGCCGACCTTCTCCCTAAAGTTGAGGAGGATCTGGGGAACCTGGCTAAAGTCTACTTGAGAGATGCTCTCCTAAGCAGTCGGGCGGAGGACAACATCCCGAGGACATCTCCAGCCCTCTCTTGGCGATCCAGTGCCAGTAGGGGGCGGCACTGAGCTACCAGTCGCAGCACCCGAGGGCTGAGGGGGTTGCCTGGAGGATCGTCTAGCCTCCGCTTCTTTTTCTCTTCCCACCCCCCCGCCCCCTCCCCAGCCTCAGCCTCAGGTGGAAGGGAAGCAACTTACCGCGATGTGTCCTTGCGGAGCCGGGAAAAGGGTGCTCGGAGCCGCTGGCGGGTTCTTTATATATAGCAAGCCGGGAGATCCATTGACGTCAGTGAGGAACATGGACTGATTGCTGATGGTGCGGGCGGTGTCCCCCGATAGACCCTCTTGGGACCTGAACTGGTGTCTGAGTGGGAGAAGGTGTCCTTGTGCTTTGTTACTGGGTGCCTGCTTCCCCCCTCTCCCTCTGGATTATTTCAGCACTCCTGCAAGTCGCCTCAGAGTAAATTCACTCTTTGCAGACCTAGTTTTTCTCACCTACTTCCCAGGTCCGAACAGACTCGGGTCCTACGAATGCTGGAGCGACTCTCAAGGCACGAATGCCAGGGAGACCAGCTGAGCCCCCTGAAAGTCTTTGCGATTCTCTACCCCACTCTGTGTGTGAACTCTGTCATATATAGACCAGCTTTTTGATGTTTTCATGTTTCTTCATATAATCAGTCTTGATTCAAAGCCTCTACTTTCAAACAGCCATGAATCTCAATCTTGGAAGATGCAGGCTCTATCACTTAAAGAAATTAATATAAGCAGAAGCTATGATGAACTTCAAAGCTGGTTGACGGACAAGTAATTCTGATTAGTCTGAGAAAAGTCCATAGGAAAGGATCAGGAAGCAATGGGTAGGAATGGAGGTAAATATGCCAGCTTTAGCAGGTAATCTCTCCAGCATCTTCGAATAGGAAAATAATAGCATCGTAATAGACCAACCACAGCCCATACAAGATAGGAAGACGTTGTGACTGGTAAGCAGATCTGAAGAAATGGGCAGACTTGGTTAGCCGGTTGAGGGGCAGTAAGGTAGGAGAGGGCAAGAGGTGAAAGAGGACAAACACCAAAAAAGACACCAAACGATGTCTGGAATTTTAATTATTTAATAAATGTATTATTTAATAAATGTATATGGCTATCCACTTGCCAGCGTGACTCTAGGTAGCTAATAAAAAATAGACATACAATCCAGTTGTGAAACCACATCTTGCCTCTTCAAAACAGGCACATCCAACATCCCATCCCAAATTTATAGAGAAAAAAACAGTTAATACCTTACGGAAGACACAACCGTGACCTTGCATTGCATTGCATCTTGAAGCTTATTAAGAGATAGTGCAGTGCACAAAATAGTAATGTTAAGTGGACATATTGTTGTGCACACATCTGCCCCACTGCATTTTGAACCAGTTAGTTTCTGGATATTCTTCAAGGGCAACCCCGTTTAAAGTTCATTGCAGTAATTCAACCAGAAGATACTAAAATCTGAATGATCAGGAGCAGAGACACCTGATCCGAGGGCAGAAACAACTGATACATCAATTGAAAGTCAAGGAGAAAAACCCTCCTGACTATAGCTGTCACCCATTTCTTGATCAGGATCTGGAAGTGCAAGAACAATTGTCCAGTGAGTTGGACGATTTATCCAAACAAGCTAACAGTAAACAATCGCCCAATCAAGGAACCACCCAGACCACTTCCACCAAATCACTAGTATAGAAAATGAGAGCAAATCCCGCTGTCTACTACTGATGATGCTACCTAGTTTGCTAATGAAATGTCTACAAGAAAACAACCAAGCTCAGAGTGCACCTAGGTCAGGGGTAGGCAACCTTGGCTCTTTTATGACTCGTGGACTTCAACTCCCAGAATTCCTGAGCCAGCATAGCTGGCTCAGGAATTCTGGGAGTTGAAGTCCACGAGTCATAAAAGAGCCAAGGTTGCCTACCCCTGACCTAGGATGCCATCTAGATATAGTTCCAGAAACCACTATATGGATAAGACATGGTGAAACAAATTGGCTCCAGGTTCAATCTATGTACCCTCTTCCATTGCCTGGGGCACCCAGACGGCTGAGTTGGGACTGCGGCACTGATCCCGACGATCCGAGCTAAATTAGCTTCTCTCCCCGCTTCCCATTCATCTCCTCGGGCTACTTGGCCCCAATAGGAAGACAAACATCCGCTACCGAATGCCAGCCATCCTTTGGGCAAACACCGGCCAGGTCCGCCGCGAAGCGAGGAAGCCGTGATGATTGGCTGGCGGGGAGGCCGTACAGAGGCTGGACGGCGGGAGCGCGAGCGCGCCCTTTCAGCGTCCAGTGTGCCCTGGGCCTGCGTCAAGAGCGGAGGACGAGAAAGAGCGCGCTCTTGACAAACTTCAGCTCTGTGAGGAGAGGCGCGGCTCTACGGAGCAGCTTCTCTCCTCACCCTCGGAGGGGAAAGCGGCTCTGGGAAAGCGGCGCGGTCCGGCACACCCCCCCCTCCCCAGCTCCCCAGCAAAAAAAGGGAGACGCGCTACTTTCTTCTTCTTCTTTTTTTTCCTCACATTAAAGTTTTATTAATTTTAAACAATACAAATACAATTATAAACATACATTATATAACTAATTCAATAACTACCATAATTGCTCGTCTGCCACCCCCTTCCCGCGCCCGCCTTCTTCTCCACAACTACCTCCCTTCACATCCCTCCTCCATCTCCTTCCCACGGACACGGTTAGAGAGTAGCGCTACTTTCTTCTTGACGCTTATTTCATCCCGAGTTGCTGAGGAAGCAGAGGGGAACTATTTACTAACTCAGTGTTTCTCAACCTTGACAATTTTAAGGCATGTGGACTTCAACTCCCAGAATTCCACAGCCAGCAATGCTGGCTGTGGAATTCTGGGAGTTGAAGTCCACATGCCTTAAAATTGTCAAGGTTGAGAAACACTGTAATGAAGGACTTGGCGACAGCCTATTTCTCTCTTGCCGCAGCCAGGCAAGCAGGGGGCTGCACGGGAGAGCGACTGGGTCTCCACAGTGCTGGGTTGGGCGATTTCGTTTGAACTGCAGGCCCTCTGGAATTTTGGCCTGTTCAAGCACCATGTATTAGTTTGCACTGAGGCAGTGTTCTACTAGCAGCACAGATATGGCTTTCCATTATTAACCCCAAATAGAACCATCAGCGTTTCTCAATTGCATTTTCAAAATCTGTGGGCTTCAACTCCCAGAATCCCCCAGCCTTCACGTCCACCCATTTTGAAATCGCTGAGGTTGAGAAATGCTCGTCTATCAGGATAAAAAGTGAATGGCCATTCGCTCTATGGTTTCCTCCATGCATTTGTTGCATTCTTTTTAAAAGTCTGTTTTGTCGGCAGGATAGTAGCTTCCACACCAACAGTACATTAATTCATTCTGAATCAATTTTGAGTCTGTCGCACTGGATAATTAGGGGTGCAATTGTCATTATGCTACCAGTGCAGATGCACCAGTTTGGCCTTGTGACTGGGTGCTCCAGAGTTTGCAAACATCCCTTGTTTCTTGAGGAACAGCAATATCCAGGATTTACTAGATCTGACTTCATTGAAGTTCAAAGTGAAAACATTTATTTTGATTTATATATCACTTTTGATTATATATATTTATATATTCATTTGATTCATATATCACTTTGTACAGAAGCTCATGATAGCACACATAGTTCTCCCTCCTCCTATTTTTCTCCCATAACCACATCCCTGATCAGTAGATTGGCTTGAATGAAAGCAACCCGACCCAAAAATCACTCAATGAGCTTCCATGGCTGATGGCAGACTAGAACTGGGTCTCCTTGATCCTAGTCCAAAACCTTAACCACTGTACCATATATGTATTCTATATGTTCGCCTACTTTGTAAGAACTGATTCCAAATAGATTGGACTAAGCATCCTATTTTTCATAGTAGTCATTTTAATTCCTTAGAATCAACCATTCTTATATGATACTCATCAACAATGGATGTTTTGTTGGCTACAATTGTGGACCCTGGATCTTCCCTCAAACTTTAATCTGTTCCTTGTCAGCCAAATGAATCTCTTGTAGTGTTATAACATCTATCCTATTATCTATGGCCAGTCTGCTTAAGTATTCACATTTACTTCTACTTAAGCCTTCTATGTTTAGTTGCAAAATATGGATCTGGGATCCAATATATTGCTGATGTTTTAAACTAAATTTGTACATCAGTGATTGCATGATCTCTGTAGATGCCATACGCATCTACATACAAATAAATCAACAATGGAAGCTTCCTGAGAGACTGGTTCAATATATGGAGATACCCTCTAGTTATCATAGCAAATTGCCACTAATATATCTCTCCTTGGTCAATTTTCCAAATTTGTTCCGAAAATTACGGTAACTTAGCTATCAATTGGACCCCCAGTATCCCAATATTTCAATGGTGAGTTCAGCAAATGATCCCATGCTTCGCATTCAGGTGGCCTCAAATCTAGTTTTTGATATGCCAAAGCAAGGGCAGAAAAGTAGCCTTAAAACACTAAAAAACCGCTACAGTAATTATTTACAGTTAATAGGCAAAATGGAGCAAATGTCTTATTCCATGGCTCAGTTGCACAGGATGCTTGGTCTGGTTACTGAATTCTCACTGGGTTAAAATAATGCATTAAACCATAAACTAATTGAAGATTGGGTTACATGACACAATAAGATACCAAAGGGAGTTCTCATTTGGTCCCACACTTGGGACTGGCAACTTGATTAAGCAAAGCAGATGGTAGTGAAACCGCAACTGTAGTTATGATCTTATTTCAGCTTTCCTTTGTTTTATAGACCTGTGAAGTTCATAAATGCAAGGACTGGTTGCAAAGTTACTTTTTCATCGTTATAACTGCTAATGGTTACTGTATAAGGCAGTAGTTAAATGTGAAAAGAGAACATTAATCAAGCTTATTTATGCTAATTGTATCCATTAGTACAGGGGTGTCAAACTGCCAGCCCACAGGCCGGATACATCATAGCGAAATTGCGCCCATCCGGTTGCTGGCAATGGCAAAAAAGTCGCGATACGTAGCAACACATCACATGACGTTGCGAGTTTGATACCCCTGCATTAGAGCCAAGTGTATCCTGGCCTGCAGGTGTAAAAGAGCTTTTTACATTCCTAGAGAATAGTAATCACAGCTCAGAGAAATTAGTAGTTTTCCTACAAGGCCCTTCCAAACACCCTATAGTCAAGTACCTAGATGATTGCAGCATTTCCTGTGTTCCAAAACACAGTATATCTTCCGTTTCTTCGGGCAGCTGTGATAGCTGGTCTGATTCTTTAACTGCTAATAGAGTATGCAGAGCAGAGGTTTATTTTGTCCAATTCTCCTTTTCAGGGAACACTTGGGGCTTTTTCACGAATATATCTTTGTGCAGTTGCATATGCTGGCTGATTGGGCTGGTGGCTGGTATATGGTATGCATCCTGGGTTGTTCATCTGTTTGTAATGCATGAAGAACAGCGAGTAAAGAAAATCTGCAGGTGTTCTAATAGGATTAAGCATAGTTCTCATGTCTTCCCATGCCAGATTATAGTTTATTGGCTTTCCAGGAAAGATAACTGTTCCAGATAATGGCAACACACTGAACCACAGGAAGTCTGGAGATAGAAAAAGAAAAAAAAAGTCAAGGACAACAACATAGCCAATTATGGATTTGAGTGTTGGTGCATGTGCATGTAGGCAGTGTCAGAAGTAAAGGAAAGGCAGTTTATACCTGTAGTTCAAGGGGATGAAGTAGAAGTTGGCAACCTGCACTGCTGGCCAAATCTGAAAGACAGAGACAGCACCATTGGAAGAGTTTGATGAAGAGCAGCCACCATATCTGCTTCATCCCTCCCACCAAATAGGAAAGGAGAAGATGAAGTTTGAAGCAGCCGCAACAGGGCTGGATCAACTGAATGGCCAAACAATTCTACAGGGTCTCTGGAAAATATGAAGGAAGTCTCTTCTTCCACCAATCCAGCTAGACAATCCCTCTGCAAGGCTATCCAGAGGAAGGCTGCCAAGTCCCAGCAATGGTATCTTAAGGCCACTCACATAGTAGTTGGTGATCAGGGCATCAGGGTAGTCCTGCAAAAGGAAAGACAGGTAGATAGGGTTGCTCTATGTGTCCAACTTTGAGGGACTTATACTAATAGTCCTAAAAGGGGGGGGGAATCCAAGGGAGGAATTTTCTGAGGCTCTAAAATCAGATGATAGTTCTTCCTAAACTCAAGTCTAAATCTGTCACCCCGAACAGTCTAGTTTCTCACTGCCTGGGTTCACACACTGCATTACCTTCACATACTGTGTTAAACTGGGGTTTGTTTTACCTGTGATTTAAGGAATAACTGGCCTTACTCATACAACATACTGACAAGGCCTGCTTTGGGCCCCATCAATAAAACTGTATCATCTGATGGGCCCCAGGAATGTGCCTTCTCTTGTCATGGTGCCTGCTCTCTGGAAAAAACATTTACATAGTTTCCACCCTAACCTTACTTAAATAAGCCTTTATAACTTGATTCTACTGCAGACTTTGGGCCAGAACAAGTAATGCCCCCTTATGGGATGTTTGGTGCCTTAAATACATTGTTCTTTTTCTGGACTTTTTCATTTTCAGGTTATGTATAAAACTATTTTTATTTTAGAAAATGAAATGGTCTGTAAATGTCTTGAAGAAACAATCACTAATCCAAGCAAATGTATTCACAACAACAAAATCCCATCTACATGTTCACAAACCACAATGGCTGGGGTTTCTACCTATCACTTTTCCACCATCATCCAAAACATCTCAGATAGATTCCTATGTGATTGGGAATGAATTCAGGAAAGTAGAAATAAGAGATGTATCTGGGGTAATTACTTCTTTTAGATCCTGCCTTGATTCAATATTTCTAAGCTATAGGAGGTCTTTCTCAATCAGCTCTTTCCTTTATCTCTAAGAATGGGTTCCATCAAACATGTTGGCAATATATTCTTCATGACTCATCATTGCTTAGCAAACAAAGTGTTATAGTACATGCAAACATAAGACATGAGAATTCTTTGCTGAACAAGGCAGAGCAAACAGAAAGCATCTTGTAAGGCATCGTACTGTTTTCATAACATGCTGGAGATGAGTGGCCCCTTAACCAAACCTGCACTATGTGACTCAGTCACCCTGAGAGGGACAGGCAGGCATCTCACGGCAGAATATGACAAACCACTAACCAAGGAACAAAAACAGACATAAAAAAAGCCATTCAAGTGTGTGACTGAAGTTGGCATAGTTCAAAAGACAGAATCTTGTCTCTGAGGCAGCTTTGTGGGAATAAAGGTGCTACAGAAGCTGTGCATCTGTCTTTTTTTTTTAATTTCTTTCTATCAGACATAAAGAATATGTACATAACTGATTTTTTTTTTGTAGCTGTTAGTACATAGTGATTACTGGCAACAGTATTTTCTTAAGTTGTCCAGAAAGCTTTTCAATGTAAGAATGGCATTGATTAAAACCAAAATATTTGTCTAACTTTCTGCTTCTACACACTAATGAATTAAACCATTTCGAATGAGAGGATAAAGATCAAGATATGAATATGTCACTATAGTCTACTAAGAATTTGGAAATTCAGAAAAGAGAAAGCAACTCCATGGCTGTAGAGGAAAATTAAACTGCTTGTCTTCTATAAATTGAATTCCACAATTTAATCATGCTCCGTCTTCATTAGTAGCTTCTTTTGTCTATTTGAAATCTCCCCCATTCAATGTCACAGGATGATAAAGTACCGGTACTGTGAGAGAGAGAAAAACAGCCTATCTGATGGCCCAGTTTTCCTCTCCTTGCTACATTTCTGTTTGTGACTACTCTGCAGTAAGTTGGGTGGTGCTGTCTTTGAAAAGGTGATTGGCCTAGAGCAGTTTTTTTTTAAAAACTTGACAACTTCTAGCTGGGAAATTCTGGGAGTTGAAATTCACACATCTTAAAGTTGCCAAGTTTGAAAAAGCACCGTCTTAGAGAACTTCTTCTACATTCCGGATCAAGAATAGCTTACCTACTCTTGTAGCAAATTTAAGAGCAGCAGCTTTCTTTACTAACTCTGACCATGACTGATTATTTGCATGGATGGGCAATCAATTCACTCAGCCAGAGTGAATACAGAACTACAGGAGGATTAGTTTGTTACATGTTCACGGGAAGCTGTTTGGCAGAAGCCTAATCAAAAGAGTATGAAAAGTGACAATGAGACAATGTTGGGGAACTGCAAAGTAGCTCTGCAACAGGGACACTATAAAAACCAGATTTTTGCTCTTCAGAAAGTCACTAAAGGATGTATGAATGTGACAAAGATTTGTTGATTTAGAGAAACTAAATAGGCTTGTAGAATGTTTTGCACAAAAACATAAGATGGTTGCTTGCTAAATACATAAGACTAGTATATGATGTGAATAAACCATGCATAAACGTAAATAAGTTGTCTGGATATGTTTTGTTTATTCCTTTACCATATTGTATTGCTATTTATTTTGTTGTGTTAGCATTTCTTGTGTTTTATATTGTGACTCTGCCAGAGTTGGCCTGGAGTCAGGTTGCACCAAAGTGTGTATGTATGCCTTGAACTGTGAGATGGGAGGCAAATAACTTTGATATGTATGAATAAATACATAAAACTCTTCACTAAATACATTTAGCATAAGATAAAGATGTGTGATAACCCCTTGGCTGGGATGTATTTATAGATACAGATAAAATGCATAAGGAATGTTTGTATCAAGGTTAGATTTAATTACAGTATATTTTCTTTGCTTTCCTCTTAACTCCAATCTTTAGTTTATTTTGCACTCTTTTCCTGCACTTTGTGTAATGCTGTTTATCGGCAGTGGAACAGTCTGATGGATAAACATGCACGTTTTTGCACTGATTCTTTAAGGCAAATTGGCTGAAGAAATGGTAGAGGTTTTAAACCTAGTAAGCATTGCTTCTTCTGCTTTTTTGAAATCTCTGTACCCACACATCTAACTTGATGTTTAATTTGGAACTTACCTTCTTGAGCTTGCTCCAGTTCTCTTTCAAGGATAGGCCATTGAGTGTTCCCGCCACAGTCAGAAAACAGGCCAGGAAGCAGGGTGCAAATCCAACCTGTGTGAAGTATAGATAGGAATACAAGAGAGATTTAGGGAAATAAGATGAAGTATTCTTGGTCTATGAAACAGGAAAGGAGTAGAGAAAAGATCTCTCAAGGTGGAAGATATAGATATCAGGGGGCTCCAATAGATCTTGCTCTTCCCCATCAGATACAACAAAACCAGACCCAGAATGGTGATGATGGTGGAGAACCTGCAGCTTAAATACCTGACATGTAGCATTTAGTAAACAACACTCTAATGTAGGAGATGGAGCTATGTGTGTATGTATCAAGCAAGAAGGGAAATTCTGCAAAAGGTAGGTTGCAAAAATGTAGAGATTGTAATTCAGTCATGGTTTAATTCTCAAACTCTACAGCAAAAGAATTAACAAGCAGTCAGGCAGCCATTTTTGGGGAGGATGCTTATGTGCTCCCTTCCCACCACTTGAATTCATGAGGGTTTCCCTAACCTGATCCAGCAGCATCTTCTGGAGTGCAGCCACTCTGGTTTTGCCGAGCACTAGACGATCCAGGACTTGGTACCATTTTCCAATGACTGGGCCCTGCAAAAGTTTGATGGATAGCCATCAGAGGTGATATTTAAGCAGCTTCTGCTTCCATGCTGAGCTTAAGTATCCCACTCCTGTTTTCCATATGTCTCAGAAGAATCAACTTTATTGGCTCAAGCAATAGGTCTGGTCATTGCACTTATATCAAGACAGCTGGAGCTGATGTGTCCAACTGAGCTCTGAGATGAGTTCCCTTCAGTACTCATAATTTTCACTTACCACAAAGCAAAATCCAATGCTCATCATTTTTAGGGTCCGCCAGCCACTGTGCCCAGACAGCCCTCTTCTTTCAATCATCTGCTGTGAAATCACATCTCCAGCACCCATGAGGGTCCCTATAATACAACATTAATTCAGTATTGATCCAATCAATGTAAAGCTTAAATATCTGATTTAAAGCTTAAATATCTGATTTCATTTTTTATGTGTGTGTGTGTGTGTGTGTGCATATGCATGTGTGTGTATGCTTTTGAATCAGTATTAATTCCTTGCAACTTCCTGATCAAGTTCCTGCAGTTTTCTTGGCAAGATTTTGGACGTGGTTTATCATTGCCTCCTTCCTAGGGTTGAGAAGAAGTGACTGGGCCCAGAGTCACCCAACTGGCCCTGTATTTAAGGCAGGACTAGAACTCATAGTCTCCTGGTTTTCAGCCTGGTGCCTTCAGTATACCAAACTGGGTCACTGCATCAAATTGGCTCTGATCTTTCCTTTACCTATATTATCTCTGCTGTCTTCTCATTTCATGTACTTTAATTCAATTAGTTGCTTCTTGGTTTGGGCAAACCAGAATTTGCCAGTATCTTTCAACTTTGCAACCTGAATCCTAACAGAAGATTCCTAATCGTACTTTTGTGAGTTCCTAACTATATTTTACCCTTCATGTTTCCAACTCCCAGACACTGCAGTCTACTACAGTGTCTGGGAGTTGGAATTCTTATGCCTAAATAAGAAAATGGGAATGAGTAGCTCAAGCATTTCTTCCTTCCTCTCAAAAAAGACACTCAGTTTGTACAGTTGTAGATTGATAGACAGGGGAGAGGGTGGGTATTCAAGATCCTACCACAAAAATTGTTCAAGACTATCTGATTAAAGCAACTTTCCTTTTGCTTTACCTAAGAGAAATTAAAAAGCTCTTGCTAACACCAGGACTAAATATGGGAAGCTACTCATTGCAAAAGTTGAGACAACTGGCAACACAGGTCCAAATCACGTCTTATTTTTTTTTACTGAAGTCTAGTCTGGGGGACGGGGCAGAGCATTTGGTCCACTGACTTCCAAAAGTCTCTGCCAACAACTCTTGACGTCAAGCCTCCCTCCTTCGGTGAGTCCTAGCCAGCTGGCAGAGAAATAAGCCACAATGCTTGGAAGAGCTGTCAGTCTCTCCTGCCCTTGGAACTGAATGAAAAGGTGCAGCCAGTGCTAAGAGTCAAGGGCAGAAGAGGAGATCCAGCTAGAGTAAGTACCACTTGTACAGAAGCTGTCTCAGTTTCTTCTATGAGTTTCCAGACTCTCAGGAATCTGCCAAAAATACAAAGCAATTTATTGGCTTTCCAGATTAATGTATCTGTTTCAGTTACTGATCAGCTCCATTAAATGAGAGCCATCACATTGCAGAAAAACAAACCCAGAGAAAAATTGTTGGGTAATACTTCAGAAAACCTTGTCCAGAGGAAGTAACACCACGTGCAATTTATACCACACAGGGAAGTGACACCATGCGTAACTATAACTGAGTACTATGAAACCATTAGAGAGAGTCAGGGCAAGTTTCCTCCTACACAGTAGAAACATACAAGGAAGTGGAGTTAAGTTGAGGAAGAAACCATATACTGTTGGGTGAAAGAAATGAAGACAAGACAAATACTGTGGAATTTGATTGTTGATAGGAAACTAACAATCAGCCTTTCAAATATTGCCCACATGAAGGACTAATTCTTAGTATTTGAGATTCTCTTGTTCAGATGCGCAAATTTCCTTGGTTGAGATATTCCTCCCCAAAAAATAGGAACCACTATCTTTAGCTGAAGTATCAGAAACATCATAGCACTGGTTCAGCTTCCAATTCATTGATAAATACACAGGAAGCAAATGCACTTTCCCTGATCCATCCGTCCATTCATTCATCTATATAAGCTGGGGGGTAGCACCTGAATGATGCAGTTGGCAAGCCTGCTAAGTGTAATGGGATGAGTCTCTCTCAATGCCAGGTACATCACAGAGATTGACGACTCTCTGGGCGATGACTTCACCTACATGAAACTTTGGAGAGCTGCCAACTCTGCTTGCTAGTCACCCCTACGACAAACAGGCAGATTCCATTACACCTGATGGATGGCCCTGGGATGGAGTTGTCAGCAAGAAAAATTAGGGAGGGGAAAGATGCAGGAACAAGTACACAAGCATTAGCACAATAGTTCCAGAACTTGTTTAGTAAACGCAAATCCACAATGGCTGTGTATGTTCACATTTAATGAAATTAAATGTAGTAAATTAAATGTGCAAATTCAAAGTTAATCAGATCAGGAAAAGACCTAATTTAATGAAATTAAATGTAATAAATTAAATGTGCAAATTCAGAGCTAATCAGATCAGGAAAAGACCAAGCACATTGCTTTATAAAATGCTAATTTTTAGTTAATATTAACCTTGGTTACTTGTTTTTGCTTAGCATACTATGGGAAATCAGTTCACTGGTTAGTTTATAGTTTAGTGAATCATATAGCTCAGAAAGTGCATTAAGTCATTAACCAGGTTTGCATGTATGTAGCCACTGAGGAACCAACAAGTGCAATAAACTAGTGTTGAGGACTGACCCTACTGTGTAACAAACTCCGTTATCTGTCCCAAAGGTGCTTTTCTTCAAAAGGCAACTGGACTGTCTTTTTTTTTCTTTGAAAACATTTCACTTCTCATCCAAGAAGCTTCTTTATTCTAACTAACTGGTGGGGAATGGAATGGATTTACATTTTTGCAGTCATCCAGTTACTAGCACTTTGAGAGTCGTTGAGGCCACTTGAGGGGGTTCAGGGATTCCTGAATCAAGAGTGTAAACAGGTGTGGAACTTTCTTGGGACTGCTGAAAGGACTGCACTGTAAACAGAGATAGGTGGTATTGTATAACTCCCTCTCTGTTGAGGGAGGGCTGTTCAATTTTAATATAGGTGGCCTCTATGATCCCTCTTTCAAATCAGTGGTCTTCTCTGTCCTGAATGTGAACCTTGAGCTTGGTCTTTAGATGCTGAATTAGGAAATTCTCTAAAAAATTATCCATACTGGGGATATTTCTTTCAATCCCAGTTTTCTGCCAGGAGCAGAGAGGGCTTTTGCAAGGGGAATATGAAGAACAGCATCCTTGACATAGGTCAAAGCCATTTATGCAATGTACTATAGAAATGTGGCCCCAACAAAAGGCATCAGAAGCTCTCTCAGGAGACAAATCCTAAGAATTCAGTAATTTTCACTTTGTGTTTTCATACAATACACTCAGCCATAAACTAATAAACCTACAAAGCACGGCATGTGAAAGAATGAAAGAGTATTAAAACCAACCAAGCCTTCCTTAATATTTACAAAAAGCTGCTAGGATTTAAGTGACCACATTAAGTATATTCTTAAACACAACTAGCAAAACCTTAACATCAATTTTGCAGAAGCCATAATCAATTCCTCTTGGGTTAACTTAGTTTGCGAGACTGTAGGATAAACCAACACATATTGCCTTGACTCCTCAGAGGAATGGCAGGAAATCAATGTCATAATTAGAAAACCCTCCTCAATTTCAAGATCCTAATTTTCAAGTTTCAAGCCCTGCCAATCTTTAAGTTCTGGATAAGCAGTGAAGTGAGATCCCATCCTTAGAAAAGGCTGAGGAAAAAACATTTAGGTTTTTGCAACAGCAATGTCTTTTTATTGGCTCTCCACAATTCGGTAGCCTCTTCTATATTTTGCAATAGACATCATTAGATGAATTTTGAAAACTGTTCATTTTATTGGCTTACTATTTTAAGGACTGTATTTGCCTATTATGATAGCATTGTGATCTCCAGTTACTGACATGATGATTAAATATATGATGTGATTACATGCTTTTCTTATCCCAAAGGCTTTTTTTCAAAAGGCAACTGGACTTTGTTTTTTCCTTGAAGACATTTCACTGAAGAAGCTTCTTGGATGAGAATTGAAACCTCTTCAAGGAAAAAAACAAAATCTGGTTGCCTTTTGAAAAAAGGCACCTTTGGAACAACCATGACCTGGATGACTGAAAATCTCCATAGATATTATGTGTCTTCTGTAACTCATTTAGTAAGAAAGACATTCCAAAACTGAATATAAATGTAAAAACTAACAAAAGTATTGTTTGTGCTGCTGCCACTCTCTAGAAGACAGAAGTATATGAACCTTTCAGTTGATACACTGGAGGGACATTTATGTATGTTAGATTCTTGCTATGAGAACTGCCACAAAAGGAAGTGGCTGTGATCAACCCGCAGTAGTGAATAACCAAGGAAGACAGCAAGCAGCCAGAGAAGTAGGGAAGCGCCTTGTTCCTTTCCCAGGGCTAATGTGCCTTAGCTCCTCTTACCAGCTGTGATGATTTGCACCTTCCAGGGGTGCTGGACCATCAATCTCTGGTAGGCTCTCCAAAAAGTTGCCATGTCACCTAACACAGCTTCTATAGTATAGAGAAGTGAAAAATATATTGGAGCACAAGTTCTGCCCAACAGTGCATTATGATTAGAAGCAGTACCATTCTCTACAGTGCTGCAGTGAAGAAATATTAGATGATCCAAATACCGTTAATGGCCTGTAAAAAGTTGCCTCTCTTTTTTGCAGAAGGCCATATATTACTTCATATAGGTACATTGTTGGAACAGTAAAAATGACAGTGGACAGTGGAACTAATGAGCACAACCAATGAGGACCCAAGCAGAGGTCAAACAGCTTCAGTCTGGATTCTTCACCGAGTATGTCATTTGTTACGATAACTCAAATGGCTCCTTCCAACTCTAGGATTTTATGAAACACTTCTCTTCTATCTGTAACTCCATGCTGTGTGGTTTACATTTATCTAATAGTTACACTAGTTCAAATATTCTGAGTGTCTGCACTTTCCATACATTAAATGTTATTTAAACAGCACTATTATCATGACTCCATACCTAAAGAGAAAGTGTTATTCTTGTTCTCAGGAAGCGAGTTGATGGTATGTGTATTTACTTGGGAATATTTATATGTTTATTAGAAAATAAATTACCATAGGAAAAGACAACTATGATATGCATTATCTGACCGACCCTGTCACTGATGCTCCATCGGCTTGCCTCAGTAAGTCAGCTCTGCTTTGCATGCTGTCAGACAAGCTTTACTAAGAGAAGAGACTATTTGTAACTTAAGAGTAGAACTACTGGGTCCTTGGTGCTCTCGGAGTTTGGTTATTAATTAGGTAATTGATTAGGTACTTAGCTGGGTAGTGAAAAGTCAGGAAGAAAACAGCCAAGCTCCAAGAGCACCAAGGACGCCACAAACAGGCTTTTTTTTTTTAAAGCATCTCACGTTATTCTTATTTTAATACATTTCACCGGAACGTACCAACTAGAATGCCTTTTTATGCGCACACTCGCTTCTTCTAGGCCAGGGGTAGGCAACCTCGGCTCTTTTATGACTCATGGACTTCAACTCCCAGAATTCCTGAGTCAGCGTAGCTGACTCAGGAATTCTGGGAGTTGAAGTCCATGAGTCATAAAAGAGCCGAGGTTGCCTACCCCTGTTCTAG